TCCGGCAGTGGGAAGGATTACTTCTTACACTGGGAATCCTGCCACAGATCCTATTAGTAGAGTATACAACTAAATTGAGTACTTACTCGATGTGTAATATAGTAGAGCTGCTGGCCAGCAAAGTCCCAAATGTAAGTCATGTCCTCATTACTAGTTGATGCAGAGGCCTTTCCAATCACTCTGTCAATTATTCTTTTTTGCCTTTCTGATGGCAGTGCTTGGCTTGGGTCATTGACCTTTGTCTGTTAATTAAAAATCATGTTAGAAAGACACAGAATGTAATTATTTTCAAATATTAGAAAACATTACTAACAAGATGATTTTGAAATTCATTACCAATTATTATTCTATGTATTCTTGGAAATTATACTTGTATTGTTTTTAATTTTAATAATGAAATTTTAATTTTTTAATTTTTTTCTGATAAAAAATGATAGTGTATTATATTTTAATGAAGTCGGTTAATAAACATATTTTAGCATTATTATAGTATTGTATGAAAGCACTGCAAAAGTGTACATCCATATAATTTGCAAAAAAGTCCCCCACTAGGAATATAATAGGAAAACTATCGCCAGTGATATACAATATTTGTATTTCTGAGTAAAGGTTTTGGGGCAAAAACAATTGATGGCTCAGGAAAAAAAAATGAATGTTTACACAGAGTACATTGTTTTGTTCAGTATTTTAAAACTAAACTAAATCAAATCAATTGTTAACCAGAGGTATATAGTGACAGAGGTGTACACAATTACTTCAACTTGAAATATTTTAAAAGCAATATACAGAAGAACAACAATGTATGCTGTGAGAAACATTGAGTCTCAATGATGAAGGCTGAAATAATGCAAATCTACTAAAAACGTGTTATTAAATCCCACAGTTGTAATAATTTATCTGATAATCTGTTGAAGACACTATGGACCCACATACTATTACTATGTCATGTCCTACCTTAACTGGAACAGGCACAGATGGCAATATAGGTGTAGAGGATGTACCTGGTTTGCTGCGACTTTCCTTTTTAGGGGCGTGTACCAGTGGAGGTACAGGTGTTGACTTTCCTGCTGATGCTTGTACTGGTTCAGCTGCCTCTGCTTGCCTTGTCATTTGTTTCAATTTCTCGGCCACTTTACTTTCTAATGCATTATCGAGTATATCCTTGATCAGTTCACATTCTATGAAAGATAAAGAAATTCATCAAAGCTTGAGTCACAAATGAGAATCAGGATTTTAAAGTTAAATTGTTTCTTGTCATACCGTCCATGTCCTCTGCCTCTTTCCACACACTACTTATATCAGTAGTTTGAAAAGCAGTGGTCAACACTATTCCATCAGTCGATGGTTCTTCTTCATTAAATCTGTGGAAAGAGCAGTGTAATTACTGCTTGAATTGCTGAATTGTATATGTACATATTACAGTATTTAAGTGCCATGATTGAGTTGTGGTTACATGGAGGAGTAGATACAAGATAACTTTATTGTCAGAAAGGAAACTACTTTTGAATATTACATCGCATGAACAATTTTAAGAAGTCAAACGTATAAATACAAAGGATATGTTCGATATAAATTACGACATACAGTCTATAGTACAATATATACAACAAAACATGCTGTTGGATATATGGGTAATGACAATTAAGTACATGCATGTTTAAAACAATAATATTTACGTGGCATCATACTGTATTTTGTTTTAAATATAGAAAGCAAATAAAACACAATACTTGTATAAAAAAGTACAGCAATACAGCAACATTTATATTGGAAATCCATTGACAGATACAGCACTTCGGAAACTTACGTTCTTTCAAGCAGAGTGTTTACCAAACAAGTCTTTCCCACCCCCTCTTTGCCCGTCACCATTAATCGTGCATGGTTTACTGTGATCCTTCCTTCTTGTAATTCCTCGTTAAAAACCTTCAGAGCCTCACTGCCTCTGGCTAAAATTGCCTCTGGAACTGCTAAGTCTAATTTACAAAGGCAAGATATTGTTTTTTAACAATAAAAGTACAAAGAAAAAACATAAACAGGTTACATGTGAATAAAAATCTTTTAAAAATTTAAAATAATTAAGAAAACACGATCCTATGGTAAATGACTCATTATTATAAAATTTCAAATATTATTATAATGGAAATGGATATAGGGAAATAATCATTTATAAAAAATAAGATGACTTGCTTATTGTCTTAAAATTATTATCATTTTCACCGTTATTGTCATAATCATCATCAACAATATTGTATTAAACAAATAATTGAACAAGTAATAATAACATTTAGAAGTCGATTCTTTATTCTAGATCAAAATTATTTGGGTGATATGAAATACCGAAGTAGGTACATGGGCTTGATGAATATTTTAACTTTGTTGAATGTTAAATATTTAATTTATTTTAAGTATTTGCTTTCTGTGGAGGTACCCAACTTTAAAAGTTCACTTTTGGTGTGTCCCATCTCCTCTTTGTTTGTGCTGTTCCTTGCTGTTTCTTTTTTGTGACAAATAAATGAAATGACCCACAAGGAGTAAACATCAGTGATGTACAATGAGCTTGACTGCAAGACATTATTTACAGCGGATAATAATAAATTATTATCCAATTAATATAATCAGGAAATAAAATAACATTGACCTACAAATAATAAACAATAACATGAATAATTAAATTGTATTAACTGCTCACCTTGCAGAAGTTGCAAGACTTCTTCCTTGTGTTTTTCTCTATTTGTAGAATCATACTCCTCACATTCATTCTGTATATAGAGGTCACGTGGCGTCTCATTGCCCTGTAAAAATAATAACACATAAAACTTAAAACAAATCAATATCGATCATTCTACTTTAAAAAATACTTCATAGAAAGTATAACACAAAATTAACCACAAGAAGTATCATAAAAGAAATATTATAAGTACAAATCAGTGCAATTTTCTTTTACATGCAAAGATTCAATCACAAGTATTGATTATAAGACCATTCCCTTAACAACACAATCGCTTGTTGTGCTAATGTCTTCAGAATCTTTGTCAATCAATCAAGCAGCAACAACAGCTATTTAAATAACTCAAGCAAGGATAGATCTAGGATGGGGAGAAGTGAATAGGGTGGATAACCTTTCCCACAAAATACATAGGCCTAGACAAGAGCAATCCCTTTATACCAAGTAATAGAAACAAAGTTAACATTTCTAAAGCCAACATGCTTTGTGGAGTGGTTTACATTTTACCAAATAACCTACAATTAAGCTCATCTCATTCCCACCCTCATTCACCCCAGCCATGGACTCTCTTCTCTTATATTAGGCTCCACTACTGACACTGTGCTGCTGTTTATGTAATCATT